GAGCCTTTGAGTCTAGAACCTTTGGATCCAGAACCTTTCGGTCTAGAACCTTTGGATCCAGAGCCTTTGAGTCTAGAACCTTTGGATCCAGAACCTTTCGGTCTAGAACCTTTGGATCCAGAACCTTTCGGTCTAGAACCTTTGGATTCAGAGCCTTTGAGTCTAGAACCTTTGGATCCAGAACCTTTCGGTCTAGAACCTTTGGATCCAGAGCCTTTGGGGCCAGAGGCCAGAACCTCAGTTCTGGTTTCTTTCTGAGCTTTCATCATCATCATCATCACCATAGTAACAGCAGCAGACCTATGGACCAGAACACCTGGACTTAAGTGGACCGGACCGGAACCAGCGATGAGAACAAGCTGCCTCTTTCTGCGTCATCACCTCCACTGATGACGTCAGGCATTGGTCACTGATTGATCCGGTTCGGATTGTCCGGGTTCCTCACTGGGTTCGGTTTTAGGTTCGGCCCCATCCTGCAGCTGGACCAGAACCAGAACCAGGACCAGGACCGGAAGCTCTGGTTGCCAGGGAAACGGACTGACCTGCTCCAGGCTGAGGAACTGGTAGAAGTTCTGCGGGATCTCCTCCACCAGGTCCAGGAGCTCCAGGTCCGCCTCCCAGGCCCACTGACCGGGAACCAGAACCAGGACCAGGACCAGGACCAGGCCCAGAGACCCGCTCAGACCCGCACAGACCCGCATCTCCGACCGGAACCAAACCCAGCTGCAGGTTCGGATGGTAAGCAGCTCCGGAAACAGGACCGAGCCTGGAGCGACACACCGACACGTCCGCCTTCCTCTTCTTCTTCTTCTTCTGCTGCTTGTTCTTCTTCTTCTTCTGTGGCGGTTGTTAAACAATAAGGCGTCTCAGTACCGCCACCAGCCGGTGAGGAGGATGGCAGCTGCATGCTCCCTGCACTCTGGGGACGCAGAGTGAAGGACCAGGCTGGGACTGGGATAGCCATAGATATCTTTATTATGGATATCTATGGTGATAGCGGACCCACAGGGCCGGTCCTCCTTAAATCATAGCGGCCCTAACCCTGAAGCTCCCACCTGTGACAGTAAAGAACTAGTAATCCAATGTTAACTACCTAGACCTTAATAAACTAGAATAAAACGATTTTCTCTCCACCAAAAACCTTTAAAGCTCCTTTATCCTGTACTTTCTGAACATGACCCTATAAACTTAACTTCCTTTCATCTTTCTGATTCCTCATTATATATTTGCAGTTTTACATTTTCAGAGTATTTCTTCCTTGTAAAAAATAAAGTTTTTGTTTTGTATGAAGGTTATTTGTATCAAAACTATTTGGGCATTGTGAGTTTGATTTGCAAATGTGTGTGGAGAGTTGTGTATTTGTATGTCGATTTGTGTGTGTGTGTGTGTGCGCAGTGGTATTTAATTTGAAATCCTCATTTCTCTGCTCTTAATTTGAAGGTCCATCCGGTAGTGACGTCAGGCTTCCTGCCAGCTGAGCGCCGCTGTGTCATTAAGGTTAGCATTAGCTTCTGGCGGTTCCGGTTGATCCTGACGTCAGCAGCGTTACTTCGGTGTTGAACTTCGAACCAGAATCGGAACCGGATTGGATCCATTTATCTGATTAGAACCAGAACTAGGTGAGTGTGAGAGCTGTGGAAGGAACCGAACCCAGAACCTGGTCAGAACCAAACCCAGAACCTGGTCAGAACCGAACCCAGAACCTGGTCAGAACCTAACCTAGAACCTGGTCAGAACCGAACCCAGAACCTGGTCAGAACCAAACCCAGAACCTGGTCAGAACCTAACCCAGAACCTGGTCAGAACCA